TGTGTGTTAAATCGTTCCAGAAATCCAAATGGCGTGATTATTCGTATGGAATGGACCGCGCGCGAATTAATAGGCTATCACAATAACTGGGGTCTGAAGTGTAATGCGCAAAAGACACTGTATCCTGTTAAGCTTTGCGCGGAAACATCGAAATGTATTTAAAATCGGAAATGAGACGGTGCCAATACAATTTCACATCAACGCTCGTCTGCGTAAAGCTAAAGCAACTGTTGCAATGTTCGACCCCATAATTGGATGGAAATCAAATATCGTCGTTGATGTGAAGGTGTGAGAAAGTGACAGTGCGTTGGTCCCATTTTGGTCTATGGAACTGAGTAACTTCAAAAAAAATTCGTATCATAATTATCGTCAAAATCGACTTATGTATTGAACGTATTTCAGTATAAAATATAAAATGTTCCAAATGGTCAGTTTGAATAATTGGATTTATTGCAACCTAAAGCTTTGGAAATATGTGTTTTCTAAGTAGTGTGTATCTATTTTTGAATTTCCATTCCAAACAAAGTTATGTCTTATTGTAAATTTATCATAATTAATAAACAAGATCAAGATCATTTTTGTGATTTTTGATTTCGTTCCGACGATGCTTTGAATTGTAGGACTGGTTACGTGCTGCTTTCAAGATATGTACATTTATATAAGATGTTACTCCAATAAATGGATTATCATAACCTTTTAGCTAGCTTCAAGAGGTTTAATTCAATACTGATTGCATTAAAACATACATAACAATGCCTATGGTGTAAATTTCCAGTAATCATCACATTATTGTTCTAACACAACCCACATTTTTTATTAACTAAACATTCAGCTTCCACCGAAGGTTGTGTTAAAAGCCGTACATCGGATTCGGCTTCGCCCAAAAACTTGACATTTGGTTGGACGATTTACGCAATGTTCATGTGAAACAACAAAACGCTTTTATTATTATTCTCGAAGAAAGTCGAATCCACGGAGTTCTAATAGAAAATACAGTCTACCTATAATTTTTGCGTTGCAAAATATATATCAGGATATATATCCATAAATTCAGTTTTTGACTGTAAGGTTGACATTGCTGTGGAACAGATATTAAAATAAACCTTTCCCCAACCCTACAACCTCCAACCCCCAACTTCCAGCCCCTACGAAAATGTTCCTGAAAATCATCAGGAGCTTCTGAAATGTCAAAAAATGAAGGATTTGTGCTATTTAAACTGGATCGATTTAAAAAAACTATAAAGCTTTTCGTCCCTGGTAGACAGACAGGTCGACTGAAATGAGTGACATGGTTTTTCGTGATGCACATGTCATGTAACATTAAAAAAATAATATCTCATTTTCGAATACTTTCCCGATTTCGATACTTCCTCGCCAATGGCACAGGAAGTAAAAGACGCGAACATTACTAAGCATGTTACTCGGACATTTTGTATAATATCGATAACTCAATACACTATTTAGTTTTTTAAAATGGATAACAAAATTATCCTCTTTGAATCCACATTTTCGGGTATGTCCGCAAAGTGCTTATTTCGGCGCTGACGCTACTCAGGATTAGAGTGATCTATGACGAAGATCTCGACGAATGACGGAAGATAGGGGGGCCAAACGAGACCACTCACTGCACCACTGTCAATATTCACATATCGCACGAATTCATGCAGCCTAAAAAACGTATACCAGGTCACATAGAAATGTCGAATTGTTGCAGAACATTTGTTTTTTCATTCAAAGAGACTTAATTAAAAAAAACCATTATACTACTAAGTATCGATGAATATTTATGCGTTACGCCTTGTCGTTCACTACTGTTATTCTTGTTCAAAATAATGTTCATCACTACCCAAAATAACAATGCCCCTATAAACGTTTTAGCAATATTTATTCAACGCTTATAAACCCAAAGAGGGCGCACCCTTGTGCAGCAATCTGGTTCTCTAATTTGTTTTATTATGGCTCCCACAGTTTTTACGGAAATTTGATTGTTTAAACATTCTTAAAATTATTATAAAACAACAACAATCATAAAATAGTTTCCTCAGAAAAAAATAAAGTGCTAGAATAAAACAGTATTATAAATGTTTTATTATCTATGCTGCAGCTTTTTTTGGTTTTGACTGACACTAAAAGTTTGTTTTTGTTATTAAATTGCACCCACTGAGAATAATTTGATTTTTAATGATTCTTGATATAACAAAAATGCAAACATTTGATCTTTTGTTAACAAATAAAATATGTTTGAGTAACTGCATCAGTCATGTTGTGTTTAGTTCTGATATACAGTAATGGACAAAAGTATATAGACAAATTAATATTGTGCTGTATTTTTAACTTGTTTTATTAATACACCAACCTGTATATGTAATTCGTTATAACATAATACTTATACATGAATAAATCCATTAGACTGCCTTCAATAAAAAATTGAAAGTATGAAGGACAAAAATATATAGACAAAGCAAAACAATTATAGAAAAAAGAAGCAAAGTTCATTGAATTATAGAAAACCGACCATGTTTGTGTTAATATCCGCCTCCATGTTTGACAGCTGGCAAAGTGTACTTGGGGTTCAATCTTTGTCCACTAGGACGTCTAACGTAATGAACACCATCTGATCAAAACATATTGAACTTGGATTCGTCACTGAAACATACTCTTTTCCAGTCACAGATGCTCCAATCAAGATGCATCCGTGCAAATTGTAATCGGTCCTTACCGTTTTTCCTCGAGATTAGCGGCTTCTTTCTCGTCGACGTGCAAATATCTTCAAATCATTTAATCTTCTACTTATAGTTTTCGTAGAAACCCAGACAATTTCTTCTATTGTCTTGATTCCGGCTTTTATTTCTTTTGGGGTTTTAAACGGATCTTTGGACAAAATTACTTTTATTAATCTAACTGATCTAGTTTTGTAGGCCGACCACTTCTCTTAGAGGCTTCCAAGATACCTTTTTGCTTATATTTGTTCAGTATTGCCCAAACTGCTTACGCTTCAGCTTCAAATTTTTGGTAATGTCGACTTGACTTTGACCGTCTTTGTATAACTCAATGATCTTAGTTTTCACATCGAAAGAAATTTCTGGACCACGCGGCATGGTCTTAAAATCACTCAACTTATTCCACAATACTTGATGAACACAAACTAATCCTCTTCTGACACGAAACTGTACTAAACTAATTTTGAAAAGAAATTGTGTTCATTTCAGATAACGTAAAAACAAGAAATTTAGTTTTTCTACTAATAACGCTTTTGTTTATGGAGCAATGAAGTATGAATTCGTTTTCTAAATGTATTTAGGTAAATATTGATATTTGTCTAATACTTTTGAACATTACTGTAAAAAAAGTGCTTATATTCAGACTTACATTGTGTTCATTGCAGATAATGTAAAAACAAGAAATTTAGTTTTTCTACTAATAACGCTTTTGTTTATGGAGCAATGAAGTATGAATTCGTTTTCTAAATGTATTTAGGTAAATATTGATATTTGTCTAATACTTTTGTCCATTACTGTATATGTACACCCAATACCAGACAGACGGAAATTCTATTTTCAATCTGATGATATTTTACTACACAACAAACTGTTTTGTATGATATACGGGTTATAAAATTTAAATTCTCTATTTTTTCTTATTTTCTTATTCTGGTCTGTATTGTAATAAAATAATTGAAGTGAACCATTTTATACCATTATAAAGGGTGTCTCACAACTTATCCGACAAATCTTAACCACATATGCACTGTTACGAAAGAAGTAGATTTCTCAAAAAAAAAAGGTAATAAAGGTCCTACAGAAATTAAGTTATTAATCTGAGTTTCAAATATGTATTTTACGTTCATCGTCGTTATATTAAAACTTGCATTAATAATTTACTGTAGCAAATCCTGTACTAAACAACTGACGAAAACAAAATACCAGGAATTTTTTGTTTTTTCATACGTATAAGAACGTGTAAATAAGGTTGAATCTGTGTCGTGGGTGATGTGAATGAAGAACGGTCGATTTTTGTGAAGTATTTATTAATAAAAATGGCACATGTGTATACTAATGAGGAGTTAGTGGACATTATTTTAGCGTACGAAGAAGCAGGCCAAAATTTGCAAGCGACTTCTCGTTTGTATGCACACCGATTTCTGAATAGGCACATACCATATCACGCAACAATTAGTTCAATTGTTTTACACGCACGTGCTAGTTGAGATGCGCCCAAGTTTGCATTGCAGTCAATGGAAACAATTTTGAACAGCTTTTATAAGTAAGTGAACTGTTAAACTATATTATTGTATTATCTCAATTTCTGTAGGACTTTTATTACATTTTTTTTTTGTTGAGAAATCAACTTCTTTCGTAATAGTGCATATGTGGTATTAAAATTTGTGAAACACCCTGTATAAACATTATAGCGTAGTTAGACGTTTTATTCGTAAAATGAAGTTGAAATATCACAAAATATGGCTTACATGTTGTAAAATACTTAGATCAACTTGAGAGTTCTTTTTAAACGTGTTTGCTTTATAAGAGACTCTACTAAAATATTTAACTAATGTGAATATTTTAGTTAAACAGAGAAGTATTATTGCAGGAAAAAAGAGTTAATGTGAAAAAGTCTATGCGTGGATACAGGGTGTTACAAATTCGATCCATTAGCATTGCTATCTTCATAACCGCTAGGTAACCAAATAAGTTCGTGCGGTTGCTGTACATAGCACACTGGCACGGATGTTGTTGATCGATAGCGATTGTTTGTTACCTGTTGTCACTTTAGTATGAATCCTTCTTTTCTCACACACTTAAAAAGTTGATGAAAAAGTTGTTTACTGTATGAGTACAAACTTGGTACAAAAGCTGCAGCGGCGACGCGAAAAATACTCGCAGCGGCGACGCGAAAAATACTCGTATGTACCGCATTCGGAGATGATGCCATTAGTGATCGAACAGCACAGAAGTAGTTCAAAAAATTTTCTTCAGGCGATCTCAGTTTGAGCGATGAACCGCGCTCAGGGAGACCAACAATCATGGACAACGAGGATCTTCGACAGGTTGTGGACGCAATTTCAAGGACAACGTGCCAAGAACTTGCAGAAATGTTCAGAGTGAGTCCTGAAACTATTCGTTTGCATCTTCATCAGCTAGGAAAGACGTGGAAGTTAAGCAAATGGGTCCCACGTGAACTGACAATGATAACGAATTAAGGCGTCTTACCATTGTTCAGCAAACATTTCACGCAACGCTAATGAACCATTTCTTAATCGGTTATTAACCTGCGACGAAAAATGGATCTTGTATTCGAATTCTAAGCGTTCGTATCATTGGTTGTCGTCTACTGATTCGGTACCACATACGTCCAAGGCTTCCTTGCACCCAAACAAGGTTTTGTTGTGTGTTTGGTGGACAGCAACTGGAATTGTTCATCACTGCTAACTTGTATTGTGAGCAGCTTCAACGAGTACAATCAGCACTCATCCATGATCAATCGGAAGAAAGTGATATTCCTGCAGGATAACGCCAAGCCTCATGCCGCAACAGTGACCCGAGAAAAAATTTCTGAACTCGACTAGGAAACGTTACCGCCATATTCTCCCGACATTTCGTCTTTTCTGTCTCTTGACAACTGTATGAGGCACCGACAGTTCACAACTCGAGATGGCTAATAAATGCAGACCGCCAATTTTTTTACTCCAAATCCAGGGAGTTCTACAATACCAGCGTACAAAAATTGGTTCCACGTTGGCAAAAGGTCATTGAATGTGATGGTAATTACTTCGACGAATAAATAGTGTCTTATTGTTTCTCAATAAAAATTTATATTTTTTTACTAAAAACCGCACGAACTTGTTTGGTTACCTGATACATGAATTAAGGTAAGAATGTTGACTTCAATGCTGGTTTGCAACCAGCAAATATATTTGTTGATTGTCAACTACTCGTGTTACTTTATTTTGTATTTTTTTGTTTTATAATTTTTATATATAGCTTTTATTATGTCGGTGCTAATAATAACCGTATAATATTTGCTTAGGGTACCATTTGAGTGCAATATTTTGCTTTAGCAAGCGATAATATCAGAAAAAAATATTAATAAACCAATTTTGTAAATGTCCCAGAGAACGCTAATAAAACAATTTTATTGATTTCACAAACGAATATAGGTACCAGTATAAATCTATTATGAAACACATTTGTTCAGTAAGCTTAAATGTCGTATAAAATGGTTGTGTAAACGGTTACAAAACAGTATTAAAATTTATCGTAAAACTGTTTTATATTTTTGCTCTAAGAACGTTCTTGCAAGCAAAATACTTTTTAAAAGCTCAATAGTTTTCTTACTGGCAATTCTATTAAAACAAAATTGCGTTCTAAGTGCAGTAATAAAGCAATAGTGAAATAAATAGCACGGACAGTTGAAAATTATAAAATATATTTGCTAGTTAGGTTAATACACACATGTTCGTTCTGTCAAATCAGTGTTCAAACAATATTCCTTTCATTTTTCCTCTTATCACCAGAAAACTCTACTCCTTCCTATTTACGTTTTACCTGAGATCTCGCATGGTGCTAAATGTGACTGTACGGAGAATGATCTAAATACTAAGCCGAAAACTTGATAAAATTAGTCGAAATAAGCAAGCTGACAGTTGGAACTATACTAAGTGACATATAAATCCGAACACCCCAAATTTTGTATAAGTACTTAATGAAGCATAATAAGTAAATGATAAAAATTTCAAAATGATTGCACTGCTTTAAAGCCCTTTGACCTTTAATAATGTGTGGATGCACCATGATGTGCTACGCATTCTCCAACGCGCCTAGGCATGCTTCTGATCAGGTGGTCAATGTCCTCCTGTGGTATCTCATTCCAGGCAACCACCAACTCCTCTCGAAGTGCTTCTAGAGTCTGAGGAGGACGTTGCAAATTGAGCAATCTCCTACCCATCATATCCCACACGTGCTCAATTGGGGATAAGTCGGGAGATCTTGGTGGCCATGGTAACAATGTGACATCATTATGTTGAAAGAAGTCTATTGTGACTCTTGCAACATGTGGTCGGGCATTATCTTGTTGGAAAGTTGGATCTGCCAGGATGTCAAGATAGGGTAAAAGATGGGGTTCTAGAACTTCGTGGATATAACGCTGCGCGTTCATGTTACCTCTGATGAAGATTAAAGGTGACCTGGAACCATAAGCTATAGCACCCCAAACCATAACTCCAACAGTGTGATGAACATGTCTTTCAACAAAAAACTGTGGATTCCTCCTTTCACCACGTCGCCTTCTAACCCTGGCACGACCATCGTGCATGCCTAAACAAAATCGAGACTCGTCACTAAAGACAATACTGTTCCATTCCTGATCCCAGAGTGACCGTTGTTTGCACCACTCAAGGCGATTACGTCGGTGTTCTCGAGTTAAAGGGAGGACCCAGTGTGGCCGGTATGAAAACAAGCCAAAACTTTTCATTCGTCGGTAAACACTTCGCATGCCAATAGGTCTTCCGTGTTCGGCAAACCATTCATTTGCAATGGACCTGGTAGTGGAGAAACGGTCCCTTAAGGCCAATAATCTTAGGCGGCGAAAAGAAAGTCCAGCTTCCCGAAGTCCCACTATACGGCCCCTATCAAACTCACTAAGTTGACGAAATCGTACAGGTCTCCGTACTCCGTGTCCAACTGATAAGGCTGAAAATTGTTTCACTTGTTATTTACAGTAAGATAAATACATTCACCAACTTTTATTAAAATAAAACCATTTAAACTGGGTGTTCGGATATCCGAAACTGTAGCTCTATCGGTCGCACTGACTGTCAAGGGGATGCCTCCGACTTCCGAGTGGACTTGCTACCAGTGGAAGGGAAGAGAGATACCAGTCTTAAATGTGAAGATATCCATTAACCAAACAACTGAAGACGAATTGAATTATTGAGAAAGTATCAACTGTGTGGTATCCCAGGTTCCAAAGCTAATGGACAAGGCGATATATGTTTATGAATAATGTCTATGAGATAAATGGTACTTGTTCTTATAAAAAGGGCAACCGCGCCATCTATTGAATGATAACAACTTTAATAAATGCAAGAATCTGATATCGTGTAAATTCGCGTACAGACCGAAATTCCATCGCAAGCCAAACCACATGTGGTTACAGATCTGGAGGTGTACGAATCGGTGGGTACGGCGCGAGCCAACATAAGCCAACGGTTTCCAAGGTCAGCGTTCGCTCCTTGATCGGTACATCAAAGGGAGGTTTGAGTGATTGACATTAGTACCGAACTTAACCCAATGCGGTTTAACTCAAAACTAAATTTAGGCGTAGAAGAGCGCATTCCAATACGTTTCAACAACAAATTAATGCCAACGTCACATGTGCTTGCATTCGTTTGCTGGGCGTTGGATTTTCGGTCTGTGCGCGGCTTAACGAATACTGATAATTTTTGAGAATGATTTCGTCTTGGTCCGATTATAAATAGCATTCCTATGGTACAAATTGAACGAACTATTATTTCACACACTTAATTGTCATGTTACTCCACTTTACAGGTGCTCTGTTTCTATAAGACCATCCACGTCGGCTTCAAAAAGAGCAGTGTGGTTGATTTTGACTTTTTAACATTCAGGCTACATTAAACGAAAAGATTCAAGTCTCTGTCGTGAATAATTTTTGAGTATGGTTGCGTCAAATTTAGCATGACAATGTAAATTAAGAGCGTGAAGGGACAAACATGCCTTCAGCCTCGGCTTCATCGTATGAATTATCCAGAGCAACCTCCCTAACATCGTTGATAACGTCGCAGTAACGAAACGATATCTTCCGTAATATTTTATTCGGTCAAAGGAAGCAGGACATGTTCCAGAAATAACTAGGAGTTTCTAAATCACAAAAAATGTATTTCAAACTTCACAATCAACAATCATTCATAATATTCAGTAGCCTACATTAAGGCACTTGTTCCATTATTGATTATAATTAACAGTACAAAAGCAATGATGCTGCATTACTCCTCCACGATGGGACTGTGTAGCTGCAAACAAAAACATTATTAATGATAACCCAGTGTCATTAAAATAACATCAAACGAGCTAGAATAGCATGCACTTATTCTTAGACGAAGACTTGAAAGATATTTTCATCAATAAAAGCATCAAATGATTGCAAACTCCTGCAGAAATTTTTCAATATAGTTCATTCATGATGCGGTAGGAACAGACTGACCCTGAACGTATCTTAATGTAAATTTTTTACTTTTACCAGGAAAGAGCATGTTATCTGCGACTATGATTACCATACATACAAATGGACAGAACATCGGACGGGTGGACAGTTTCAAATATGTAGGTGTAATTTCCGAAAAAAATCACATTTCTGCTTTGGTAGTCTGGGTTATCTAGTTAGAAACTGGTCCAGTTTTGCTAGCATCAGCAGTTGAAAGATTTTATATTTTACTTTCATTAGGAGCAAACTGGAATATGCAACACTAATTTGGTCACCATCTATAGAAATGATCGATCACTTTAGTTGAATTGGTGCAGGGCAGAGCTATTAAATACTTTTTCTTACACAACAGTAACAGCACACAACAGCTTCTGACCAGGACAAGGTATCGATAATAACATTTTCTCAGTCATTCAACACACTTTTAAGTTGCTACACTCTAAAATATGCCTGCAATACTTTGCCAAATAAATTTCAATATTTCTAGACTAGCTGCCCGTCACCATCTTACATTTTATTGTAATGTAGGGAGTCAAATGTATCTCAAAAAGCGCCTGTCAACAGATTGTGTCAAATTTTTAATACTGTATGTGATGAATGCGACTTATTATTCGATAGTATTAGTTTCATTGTAAATGCTTAAAATATAACATGTAGATAGTCAGATATGTTAAATGCTCAAACTAACATTATTTTGTTGTACATTATTTTATATTTCCTGTAATTGTGTTTTACTTGTTAGAAATAAAGGTATTGTTATTATTATCCATACGAGTATCGCTCACCACTTCTGCTATCTCGATCCACTCCAATGCCTTGATGATGGAATCGTTTTTGCTAGGAACTTTATCCCAGTTCCAGAATGTAATGTTTGAAAATGTATTGGTAATCCGCAATTTTCTCTCCTCCTTTTCTGTAATCGGCTTTATGCTTTCGTGAAGGACGAGTCCAACATAACCATCTGGGACAGGTACTTCTTTGCCCAATAAAGGATAGCCTCGGAATGATGATTTGAAATCTACGGAGAAAATTCAATTGTCATTATTTCAACATGCAATTTAACAGCCTTCATCTGTTGTTTTTTACGTAAAGTTTGAAATACATGAAAAACGGTTAGATCTAGATAATGTATTATTTTACATGAAACCTATTTTGAATCTCCTATATACAATCGGAAAGTTGAATGATATACAAGATGCGACGTTTAAAATAAGCAAGTTTCATTTACTTCCAGTGCAACAGGAAGTGTCATCATTTTGCTACCATTACCCAAAATTTTCACAATCGACCAACGTCAACTCTTCGAGTAATAGATCGTCACAGTTCTACGCGGGTCACCTTGTATATTGTACCTTCTTTTCTG